TGTTTGTATATTCAAACCTAAAACACTCACTAAAGGAGTTGCACCTTTCCAGTAAATTATACACTTGCTGCTGCTGTTGTTGTTGCTGCTGCTGTTGCTGCTGATGTGCTGTTGCTGTTGTGGCCTCCTGCAGATGTTGCTGTAATGGCTGTTGGTGGTGCTGCCGTTACCGATGCTGCTGCAGTTGTTACTATTGCGATAGCTGGTCTGGCTTTACTGCTATTATTGTTGCTTGCATGCAGCAGCACAACAGCAGCTGCTGCAGTTGCTGCTGCATTGGATGCTACAGAGAGTTATTGTCGCTTACCTTGTTTGTTTTTATGTTTATAGGGAGAGTGAATGGAAGACAGTTTTAGAGAACGGCGCTTCTTTCTCCTCCTCCTCTCCTTTCCTTCTTGCTGTTGCTGTATTCCTTGGTCTGCTGCTGCACTAATGCGCCCTCATATCGCCGTTGCTGCAGCAGCTGCAGCAGCTGCTGACGTGGCAGTAGCAGGTGGCTAAAGTCGAGCCACCTACCGAATTTTTAATGACAGCAATTGTAACCTGCTCTTTTCTCTCTTATTTCTATTCTCTAATGTAAAGAATAAGATACATTATTGTTTGCTGTTTTGAATTTAGTTTGCGGTTTCCTTCTTATTTTTGCTTTTATACCATTTTATTTATTTCCCTTTTAGTCTGTCTTCGTAGGCCTACATCGTTGTTAGAGATTCCATTTCATCCTTATTATATATATTGAGCGCAATCACTAATTAATAATAGTAATATATCTATGTATTATAATCACTAATATACATTTAATATTTTTCATTAATTATTTTCTCCAGTATTTGTGGCACGGCGGTTAAAAAAATAAATGACTTCATGCAGAAGAAAGCAGTGCCTCCGCTTTCTTGCAATAAGTTTTAGTATTAAAAGATTTTGAAAATTAAAGAAATCTGATATAAATTGTTTAATATTCTTTTAGAACGAGTATTAAGTGAATTCTTTTCTCTTTTGCATATTTCTTTCACGTATTAGTTATTGTCCCTCGTTACTCAGTCGTTCGTGCCGTTTTGTATGCTGTCTGGAATATACAGACATCAAAGAAAATGTACGCTTTCTGTTGAAACACCTTTCTAAATTCATAATTCGATAAAATATTGTTTGCAAATTGTTATTTATAGTGGACAGGAAGGCGAAATAACAAACTTTCACGACTCCTAAGACCAAACAGAGTGGTACTTGTAGAGCCGTGCTAAAACAGGAGCAGCGAACAGTTCTTAGAAGAAAGTCGAGTATTCTAATATGTAAATAAGTTAAAGTTGAGGTAAGAGTACACTTTCGTTGATATGAAGGTAAAATAAGTATGAGAGAAGAAGGGAAAGATCAATACAGTTAAACGTGTAACGGCTGCACCGCGTCGGGCGTTGGGAGGGGGGGCAGAAAATCATTAGAAATTGCGAAATGTTTTAACTTTTCTTAATTAAATTCGAATAAAATATTAATTGAAATTATTTGAATTAGTGAAACTCGAAGGACAGCTCAACGGCAAGAATGCTCGGGAAGCCGGTCGTTTTTAATTCGGCTTGTTATTTTAAGAACATCGAAGAAATTGTGTGGTTGGTGAAGTGGAACGGAAAAAAGAGTTAATAAAAAGGTTTTCTTCTAAGTAAACATTTCCGTACTAGAATGATCACAAGCAAACAACAATGGGAAGTCATTTAGCAGCATTAGCAGAAATAGCCGATCAACCGGCATCTGATCTACACACTCGAATTTTCACCCCGGTCTCTTCAGCTTTCTCGCCGGAGCAATTCATCGTCTTCCTTCGTTATTTGACTTGTGACACTTAATGACCCATTTGGTTTTGAGTTTTTTTCTTTAGTTTTGCTATTCTCAGAAGGAAATTTCCTTCATTTTCCCTTGGGCTCTCTTTGAGCCAGCATCATGCGGCGTTTCTGTTTCGCAGTACTTGCAGGCACGGCTGCAGCCGTGCCTGCGCTTTTCAAAGAGGCTCAAGCCGACGTCAGCCAGGAATTTTGTGAGTGTTTCTCACCAATGTTCTTCTTTTCAAAAGGTTCTAGTGTGGCGAGAAAATGAGGAAAAGTAGGCATTCCTTATGGTCCCTTCTGCTTGTCCGCAGCGGCCGTCGACTGTTCGGAGCAGATGAACAAGGAGAGAGAACCTATGGGGTTTCCTAAGTTCACTGTTCTTGATACAAAGACAGGTGATGAGGCAGAGAATACGGTTAATACATCTAAGCTTTGTGAAACTATAAAAGCGGTAAGATTCACTATTCATCAACCCCCGGCACAGCACAGCCACCGCTGTGGACCGCCAGCTAGGAGTATAACCGTAGTATGTTTTTCAGTTGTCTGGCTTTCCGTTTTGCTTCTGTTCCTTGTCTTTTGGTATGATTTTAAGCACCATTGTTGCTTCCTGCTGCTCTCTTGTACTGGACACTGTTTCTGCACCACAACCAGCCGCTCCAACAGCTGCTGCCGCTGTTGATCATTTTGAATAGTTCTCTCTCTTTTGTTGGTTCCGTTGTAGAATGGAGATCCCGGTGTATGGATAACAGAAACTGACATATCTATAGCAGCAGCAAAAGTTTCGAGTTGTCTTCCGCTATGTGCCGCAGCAACAAAGCAATGGAAAGGAGTATTAAAGGCAATGGGCGATTCTTTACCACCTGCCTATACACCCGGAGAGGGCATATACAACAATCTTGATGTTGTATCGTTAATGAGTCTTTATACACCTAAAGAGGGAGTAGCCGTTACATGCACTGTCATACAATGCCCAGAAAAAAGCTCTTCAGCAAGTGACAACCAAAACAGTGACAGCAGCAACGGCCAGAACCCAAGCCAAAACACGCAACCGCCAGCAAACCAGCCCAGCGGAGGCAACACAGGAGGCACAACAGGCAGCACAGTGGACAACGGAGGCAGCTCAGCCGGCACTGCGGGCGGCAGTGTTAGTGGCACTGGCACTCCGGGTGCCGGTAGCGAAAAGAATGGGGAAACAAGAGAGCTCAAGGAGGAAGCCAAAGACCTATCGAAGGAGAAAAAAGACAAACTTTCAACGACAATAACAGGACAAGGAGTATCAGAAGCAGAAGTAGGAGGTGTATCACCACCAGCAGCATCACCAGCAGCAGCAGCAGCAGAAAGAGCAGCAGGGGTGGAAGGAGGAATTAGAGTTCGTCGATTAGCGGAAGGAGGAGGAGTAACACAAGAAGAGTCTTTTAATGCTCTTGTTTGTATATTCAAACCTAAAACACTCACTAAAGGAGTTGCACCTTTCCAGTAAATTATACACTTGCTGCTGCTGTTGTTGCTGCTGCTGTTGCTGCTGCTGCTGCTGTTGCTGCTGTGGCCTCCTGCAGATGTTGCTGTAATGGCTGTAGGTGCTGGTGTCGTTACCGATGCTGCTGCACTTGTTACTATTGCGGTAGCTGTTCTGGCTTTACTGCTATTACTGTTGCTTGCATGCAGCAGCACAACAGCAGCTGCTGCAGTTGCTGCTTCATGTGCTACTGCAGAGAGTTATTGTCGCTTAGCTTGTTTGTTTTTATGTTTATAGGGAGAGTGAATGGAAGACAGTTTTAGAGAACGGCGCTTCTTTCTCTTCTTCCTCTCCTTTCTTTCTTGCTGCTGCTGTAGTCCTTGGTCTGCTGCTGCGCTAATGCTCCCTCACATGGCTGTTGCTGCAGCAGCTGCTGCAGCAGCTGCTGCAGCAGCTGCTGCAGCAGGTGGCTAAAGTCGAGCCACCTATCGAAGCTTTTATGATAGCGATTGTAACCTGGTTTTATCTCTATTATTTCTATTCCCTAATGTAAGGAATAAGATATATTATTGGTTACTGTTTAATATTTGGTTTGCACTTTCCTTCTTATCCTGACTTATTAGCCCTTTATCATTGTTAAATGTTACTTCTAATTAGCGCCCGTATTATAAACATTAAACCTATTCAAATACTAGTACAGCATGTATGTAGTATACTTATTGGATGACATTAGGGCAGTTAAAAGGAAATAAATGACCTCATACAGAAGACATTGCCTGCGTCTTCGTGCAAAAAGACGTTTTAGTATTAAAAAATTGGGAAAATTAAAGGAATAAAATATGAATTACTTACTATCTATAATTTGCAAAATCCCATTAAGTGAATTCTTTTTCTTTTTGCGCATTTTTTTCTCGTATTAGTTATTGTCTCTCGCTACTCTGTCGTTCGTCATTGCCCTTTTGTATGCAGTCTGGAATATACAGACATCTAAGGAAATGTACGCTTCTTTTTAACAGAGTTTCTTAAATTCATAATTCAATAACAATTTACAAATTGTTATTTATAGGTGCGAAAAGACAAACATATACGACTTCTAGGAGCAAACAGAGTGGTACTTTTTCAGCCATGCTAAAACAGGAGCAGCGCACAGTTCTAAAGAGAAAGTTGAGTATTCTAATATTTAAATTAATTACATTCCAGGAAAAAATAAACTTTTGTTGATATGAAGGTAAAATAAGTGTGGGAGAAGAAGGAAAAGACCAATACAGTTGAACGTGAAACGGCTGCACCGCGTCGGGTGTTGGGAGGGGGGGCAGAAAATCACTGAAAATTGCAAAAATGCTGTATGTTTGCTTAGTTAAATTTGATTTAAAAAATGAATTGCATTTATTTGAATTAGTGAAGTTTGAAGAACAATTCCCATTTAAGAAATGTCGGGAAGCCGGTTATTGCTTGGTCGGCTTGTGTGTTTAAAAACATCGAAGAAATGGTGTCGTAGGTGAAACTTTAGAATCAAATGAAAAGGGAAAAAGGCTTCATTAAACTTTTTGTGTCTAATTAAACATTTTTGCATTTGAAATATCCCCAGAGAACAACAATGGGAAGCCATTTATTAGCAGAAACTGCCGATCAACCGGCACGATGGTCTGCTCATACACTCAAATTTTCACCACGGTGCAGCTCATCGTTTTCTTCGATATTTGAGTTGTGGCACTTAGTGACCCATTTTGTTTTCGAGATTTTTTCTTTAGTTTTACTGTTTTTGGAGAGCGATTTCCTTCATTTTACCTTGGGCTCTCTTTGAGCCTGCAAAATGAGGCGTTTCTGTTTCGCCGTACTTGCAGGCACGGCTGCAGCCGTGCCTGCGCTCATCACAGAGGCACAAGCTGACGCCGACAGGACATTTTGTGAGTGTTTCTGGCGTATGTTCTTCTTTGGAAAAGGGTTTAAGGATACGAGAAGATGAGGAAAAGTAGGCATTCCTTATGGTCCCTTCTGCATGTCTGCAGCGGCCGTCGACTGTTCGGAGCAGATGAACAAGGAGAGGGAACCTATGGGGTTTCCTAAGTTTACTGTCCTGAATACATCAACACCATCTGATGAAGTTACGGCAGTCAAAACGACTGATCTCTGTGCGAGTATAAAAGCGGTATGATTCTCATTGTATCACCCCCCGCTACAGCACAGACACGCACACCCGGCGGTCTACACTAGGGGGAGGTTAAACGAGTACAGCATTCCCTAGTGTTGTGTAGTATTCTTTTGTGTTGCGTACGTTTGTGTTTTTTCATTTTCCGCTGCCTTTTATGGCATGCTCTCTAGCTTCCTCGTCGTTGTTTCCTGCTGCTTCCTTCCAAGGGAACTGTTTCTGCGTTATGATGTGCTGTTGCTTGCTTTTTATTTCTTTTTCAACTTTCTATTGTGTCTTTCTATTCATCTATATTTCCCTCTTCTCTTCAGCTACAGCCAGCAGCAGCAGTTGCTGATGATGATGATGCTACTGCTGGTCATCCTCCTCCGCGTTTTATACCCTCCACCTATTGTATTTGTTTGCGTTGCTGCAGGGTACAGATCCTGGCGTATGGCTAACAGCAACTGAGGCTGATGTGACTATAGCAGCAGCAATTCAAAGCTCAGACAAAGGCGATTGTGCGGCAGCAACAAAGCAATGGAAGGGAGCATTAAAGACAATAGGAGATTCTTTACCACTTGCCTATACACCCGGACAGGGCATATACGAAAGTCTGGATGTTGTATCGTTAATGAGTCTTTATACACCTAAAGATGGAGTAGCAGTTGCATGCACTGTCATACAATGCCCACCCAAAAGTTCAACACCAGGAACCGGAGACAGTGATGACAGCAATAGCGGAAGCAACCCCCAGCAACCACCCAACACAGCTCCCGGCGATAGTAGCTCTAGTGGTGGTGCTGGTGATGGTGCTGGTGGTGGTGCTGGAGGTGGTGGTGGTGAAGGCAAAAACAAAGAGGGCAAAGAGTTAAAGAAAGCAACTGCCGAAGGGAGTCCAACACCAGTAACAGCATCAGCAGTAACAGCAGGAGTAGGAGGAGTACCACCAGCAGCTGCAGCAACAACAGCAGCAGCAGGTCTTAGGGGAGGAATGACCGTTCGTCGATTAGAAGAAACACCAACACACGACGAGTCTTTTAATGCTCTTGTTTGCCTATTTCACCCGAAAACACTCACGAAAGATACTCCTCCTTTCCAGTAAATTATAATCAACACTTGCTGCTGCTGTTGTTGCCTGCTGCCGATGTTGCTTGCTACAGCTGTTCCTGCAGTAGCTGGTGCTGCACTGTTATTGTTGTTGCGGTAGGGGTGCTGGGCTTGTTCCTAGTATTTTTTCCTGCATGCAATAGCCGCTTCTGCTGCTGCAGTTGTTGCTGCAGAGAGTTATTGCCGCTTAACCCCCTTTTGTTTGTTTTCCTTTTTTTATTTACAGGGAAAGTGAATGGAAGAAAGTTCTAGAGAACGGCACGTCTTTCTCTTCATCCTCTCCTTTCCTTCTTGCTGCTTCTGTATTCCTTGGTCTGCTGCTGCAGTAATGCGCCCTCATATCGCCGTTGCTGCAGCAGCTCCAGCAGCTGCTGCAGCGGGTGGCTAAAGTCGAGCCACCTACCAAATTTTTAATGACAGCAATTGTAACCTGTTCTTTTCTCTATTATTTCTATCCTCTAATGTAGGGAATAAGATATATTATTGTTTACTGTTTTGTATTTACTTTGAGGTTTTCTTCTTATTTTTGCTTTTATAGTTTTCCATTTATTTCCTTCTTTGCCTGTCTTAGTTGCCCTTTATCGTTGCTAACATTTAATCCTTACTGTATATATTAAACCTATTCAGCAGTAAATACTAGTAACACACCTATGTATTATAATTATTTAAAGTCATTTGCCATTTTTCATTAAATATGCTCTTCTGTATTTTTGCTACGGCAGCTAAGAGTGAATAAATAGCGTCATACAAATGAAAGCAGTGCCTCCGCCTTGCTGCAATAAGACGTTTTAGTATTAAATTTGGCATATTAAAGAAATAAAATATAAACTATTATTTATAACCTGTAAGTGCCATGTTAAGTGAATTCTTTTTCTTTTTGCATATTTATTTCCATTACTAGTTATTGTCCCTCGCTACTCAGTTGTTCGTCTTTGGCGTTTGGTATTATCTCTGGAATATACGGACATATAAGCAAATGTAAGCTTGCTGTTGAAACACCTTTCTAAGTTCATAATTCGGTAAGATATTATATTGAAATTGTCATTAATAGGGGAAAACGGCGAAATAAACTTTCACGACTCCTAAAGGCAAACAGAGTGGTACATGTACGGCCAAGCTAAACAAGGAGCAGCGAACAGTTCTTAAGAGTAAGTTGAGTATTCTAATATTTAAATTTGTTATATTTAAGGAAAAAATAAACTTTTGCTGATATGAAGGTAAAAAAAGTATGAGAGAAGAAGGAAAAGATCAATACAGTTAAACGTGTACACGTTTAACTGTATTGATCAGTTAATCAATACAGTTAAACGTGTACACGTTTAACTGTATTGTTAAACGTGTACACGTTTAACTGTATTGATTAACTATTAGCCGCGTACTAACGGCTGCACCGCGTCGGGCGTTGGGAGGGGGGGCCGAAAATCATTAGAAAATGCGAAATATTTAACTTTTCTTAATTGAATTTGGATAAAAAAATTAATTGCAATTATTTGAATTAGTGAAACTCGAAGGAGAGCTCAAATTCAAGCTCGGGAAGCCGGTTGTTTTTCTTTCTTTTCGTGTGTTCAAGAACATCGAAGAAATCGTGTGGTTGGCGAAGTGGAACGGAAAAAAGAGTTAATAAAAATGTTTGCTTCTAATTAAACATTTCCCTATTAGAAAGACCACAAGAAAACAACAATGGGCAGCCATTTATTATGCGACCGACGGCATCTGATCTACACACTCTAATTTTCACCTCGGTCTCTTCAGCTTTCTCGCCGGAGCAATTCAGCGTTTTTCTTTGTCATTTGACTTTTGGCACTTAATGACCCATTTGGTTTTCAGTGTTTTTCTTTAGATTTACTATTCCTAGAAGGAAATTTCCTTCATTTACCCTTGGGCTCTCTTTGAGCCAGCATCATGCGGCGTTTCTGTTTCGCAGTACTTGCAGGCACGGCTGCAGCCGTGCCTGCGCTCTTTACAGAGGCACAAGCCGCCAGCAACAAGGCATTTTGTAAGTGTTTATGACCAATGTTCTTCTTTTCAAAAGGTTCTAGTGTGGCGAGAAGATGAGGAAAAGTAGGCATTCCTTATGGTCCTTTTTGCTTGTCCGCAGCGGCCGTCGACTGCTCGGAGCAGATGAACAAGGAGAGAGAACCTATGGGGTTTCCTAAGTTCACTGTTCTTGATACAAAGACAGGTGCTGAGGCAGAGAATACGGTTAATACATCTAAGCTTTGTGAAACTATAAAAGCGGTAAGATTCACTATTCATCAACCCCCGGCACAGCACAGCCACCGCACACCTGGCGGTCGATCCTCATATTGCGTAGTATGTTTTTCAGTTGTCTGGCTTTCCATTTTGCTTCTGTTTTTTGTCTTTTGTGTATAATTTCAAGCACCATTGTTGCTTCCTGCTGCTGA